CTGAAAAAGTTTCAAACAAAAGCAGAAAATTAAATGAATATGATTTAGAAAGATAATTAATTAAGTACTTAATACTTTAGTACTTTAGAAAGATAATTAATTAATTAATTAATACTTTTGAAAAAGTTTCAAACAAAAGCAGAAAATTAAATGAATATGATTTAGAAAGTAATTAAGAAGGAGATATATATAATATTATAGAAAACAAAATAAATGGGTTCTACAATTAGAGAATTATTGCAGTATGCAAGTTTCGTAAGTGAATTGATAGTTATTGTATTACTATTATATCATATTACAATTATTACAAAAATGTACAATATATAATTATTGTATTGTATTACAATATTAAATATTTATTTAATTTAATAATTTAACTTGCGTTGAATTTAACTCGAACATGAGCGAAAATTTCTGTTCTAAAGCATTTTTGCACTTTCATTTTCTGAAAAAGTTTCAAACAAAAGCAGAAAATTAAATGAATATGATTTAGAAAGTAATTAAGAAGGAGATATATATATATATATATAATATTATAAAAAACAAAATAAATGGGTTTTATAATTAGAGAATTATTGCAGTATGCAAGTTTCGTAAGTGAATTGATAGTTATGTATGGAACCGTTAAATTGCACGCGACTCTGAATCTAGTTAAGAAATTCAGAAAAGAAAGTAAAAGGATAATTGAGTTTAAACATATAACTAAAAGATCAAATCTTCCGGTAAATATTACTCAATACTTCCTTTCTTTGGGAAAGTGGTTTCTTTGAGGAAGCGATTCTTACGTTTTTCCAGTATCGTAACGCAAAATAGGAGTTTTTAATTTAATCTAAATAAAGATCTAACCGAGTCAAAAAACTTTTTAAAAATATTTATAGCCCAAATATTTTTACATACTTTTTCCGTGTGTAACATGTAAGAGTACAAATCAAACAGTATTGTTAGAAATATCAATTTAAAATATAACCCTTCAAACAGTATTGTTAGAAATACCAATTTAAAATATAACCCTCACTATCAATTTAAAATATAACCCTTTTTTATAATAATGAAGAAATTTTCATCTCTTCCTTCTAATTCGTGTAATAACACATGTCATTTTTATTTAAATGCATAATTAATGTAAAATTTACCAGAAATATTGTTGGAGATATGA